GGGAGGGGGGTTTTTTGGCAGCCTGTTCCGGCGGAAGAAGGCAAATCCGAATTTCAAGCCCCAGGCCCAGATGGTCAGCAAAGTGGCCGCTATCACCAACTGGCTGACCCGGAAATTCTTGAGTAAACGTGGTGGATATAGATATGACAAAGGAGTGACTGACGAATCTTGGCTAGCCAAGATTGGAGCCAAGAAACTCCCTTTCCCTTCAGAAGATGAAGTTTTGAGACACCGAGCAAATATGAGAAGAGTTCCTGGAGTCAATACATGTTATGGCCAATACCAGGACAAATTTGGCTACTGGGACAACCAGGATTCCGCCACACCACAAGATTACTTTGACAACTATGAAGAAGAACATGGTTGTTATGATGTATGCTCTCCTTTTAAGTATGGCTTTTCTAATTATAACCAGGAGTGTTATGGGAGGCATCCAGTGGGAGAAGAATATGAGCCTTATGATGAAGCAGTGGACTACAGTGAGCAAGACCCTTATGACTACCACAGTGACAATCAAAAATGCGGACCCTCTTTCAATTACCCACCTTATGAATCTTATGATGACTTCAGCAGTGATTATGAAGTAGAAGGTGGTCCATATTGGTTCCCTTATGGAAGGACAGGAGAACTGGAACACCCCGATGAGGAGGAGGATGGTTACTATCAGCAGGAAGTTAATGACAGTGAGCAAGATTGGATCGCCCAGGCACAGTCTTCATACAACCCATATGCCTGTCTGTGGGAGGACGTTGCTGGGATGGAAGAAGCAGACAGAGTTGAGGCTGAGCCAGAAGATGATCCCATCGCTTTATCCCATTCTTCTGTTTTTGAACAAGGAACAGGAGAAAAGATGGCTGCAAGGTCGCCTTTGAACAGAAAGTTCCGACTTTTCCCAAGGCCCCAAGTGAAATTGTTTGGCAAGGAGAAGCTTGATGTCCCACTTCCTCCTTCCCCACAGATTTCTCTGGCTTATTTGGATCCTGAGGAAGAAGGCACCAATGATGAGGAAGAACAGGAGCCTCTAATTTCTCCTTTTGCCCAGTCTGATGGTCAATATCTAGACCCTCCCGGGTCTCAGGGCATTTTTTCAAAGTTGTTCCCAGGCTGTTTTGTGAGCAAGCTTCAGAGGCCCCTCAATAGCAACTTAACTAGAAGGAACTGGATTTGGGATCCAGGTCACACTAAGCCTCATCTTTCTCCAAGAGACTGTGGGAGCCCTCTGGGGCAGTTCCTGCAACAATCCATCTGTCAGCCAAGGCCTATTCTAAAGCACCATGGGGACTGGGGAAGGACCCAACCATGCACGCCCAAGCCAAACAGAAGAACTCTGTCTCCACGGTTTGGGAAGAATAGTCCACTGAGGCCATCTTCTCCTCAGCTCCCAAGGAGGACTTTTGAAAACCCAAGTTCCACCTTCCCCCCAAGCTCTATCAGGAAGCTTAGGGATCCAGGGAAACACAACCCTATTCTCTCACCTTCTCACACCGCAGTAGTACTACGAGGTGCTCTTCATGAAGAGTTGCAAAGCACTCTTCCGTTTATCCGGTCGGCTTCCAATAAAAAGTCACACCGAGACCTCAGCTTCACTAGGAGGGAATCCCGTCAAGCAGTTGCTAATGACGCCGAGTCCCAAAAGCACAGCTCCCCTCGGCTTTCTGACAGATATCCCTCACCCTCTTCTCTAAAACAAACCATGAGATCATTTGACTCAAACCAGCCCCGCATGGACATTCACATTCCTGAAATAATGAATCCCTTTCATCAATCATCTGATGACCTGAGGTTTTCACAGAGGAACACCTCATGGTCCACAACTGGGCATAAAAGTCCTTGCGTCAAGGGGAGGAGTCCACATGCTTCCATGGCCTCTCCTTTTCAGCGAACAGCTGCCGCACCAGCCAAAGAAAACCCAGTTTCATCATGGGGACGCAGGACAGCCACTGTGGAAAACTCATCAAAAGACTCCACCTTCCAGCCACCTCCTTCACCTTGCCTGTCAGCACAGAAGCATTTGGGGAGTCAACGCAACCTCTCGTCTTCTAGTTTAGCATCAGTTAAGAGCCTGATAGACATCCCTTTCAGTCGATCATTGTTTCACATCTCCAGCAGTCCAGAGTTTCAAGATTTTGCCAGAAACAGGACCTCTGGAAGATTTGTCCCAAGAGAATTCCGCAATCCCACCAACAGGAGTTTGAAAGCTCCTCCATCACCTCAACCATCCCTTAGGCATTTTGGATCCCCTCCTGTACCAGGTCACCTGCGGCCAACGAGGACAGTTAATCAGGTATCTATGGATGCCTCAGGGAACTTGCCTCAGGCTTGGAACAGGCAGGCTGAACCCCCAACCAAAGCAGTGAAACCATTAATGAGAAACCAGCATATGAGGCAGTTTGGCCATCGGTCCCCAGTTTTATCTGCTAGGAGTTCTCCTCACATGCTGACTCGTCAAGGAAGCCACAGAACCAGCATCAGAGAGTCACCGCGAGGGTCATCTCCTTATGCCCAGCCTCCCTTTGAAACTGGTAGACCAAAGGAAGCTCCGTCGCAGCCCCAGCCAAGGTGGCATTGCACCTCAGAAGAGGGAATAGCCACACCTTGGAATTCCTCACCCAACATGGAAGCTACTAGAAGTTTGAGAAATGTTTTTGATTTGCCCCAACCACCACATCAGGGTCCAAGCTCCCGGAAGAACTTCATTCAGCGCATAGGTCACCCCCTAGCTGGAATGGCTCAGGCCGCTTCTTCCGTTCAATTCCTTCCTGCAGAAACAACAGGACATTTGGAGGATGGGAATCCATATCTTGCGGAGTTGGGTCAATCTCCAGAAGAGTCACAAGCTTTCTCAAGGCAGCAATTTTCCCAATATTCTCCAGCTGCTGTTGCATCAATGAAGCAGAAGGCAGAGGCCATTCCTCCTAGGTCTTCTACTCCAAAAGTGGGACATAAGCTCTTGGGTGGGCATTTGTCTTGCACCATCCCTGGTGATAATCCTGGCAGTTTGAGGAGGCCCAATCTCAGCCCCTCATCCCAAAGAATGGTTTCGTTCAAAAGCCCCCACTCTGTGGAAAAAGACGGTTCCTCTTTGGCCAGACCGCCATCTTTTTACATCCAGTATCACAAGCTGAGAAGACCGAATTCTGCCCACAGGCCTACTGAGCTGCTAGAACATGAAATGGAAGGCAGCATAGGGAGATACGCAGTGGTGATGCCCCAAGTCCAACGGATGGGTTCTTCTCCTTGGAGAAGGTCCCAGAGGCAAAACCAACCCCGGTCTGAGTACCACACAGTGAACGTGCATGAGATGCCAAATGAATGGACTTCAGAGAAGCTCTTCCAACACCCTCCAGCAGAGAGTTTTAAGGCACAGGCAGCTTACCATGGAGGAGGGAGGGGGACAGGGAGGGGGAGAGGCAGTAGTGTGTTCTGGTACCTGACACGGGGAACATCTGTGTCCAACAATGAATATGGAGAGACCAACAGGGACCATCAATGCAAGGTAATTGAAAACGTCTCAACCTGCTGGGAGCTGAAGAGGGGCAGGGGGAACCAGAGACCATAGCAGTAGAAGGCAGAACTGGTAGGAGGGGTGAGAACTGGAGGAGGCGCCACTGAGTTGAATTTCTCTTGAGCATCTGAGTCATCCACTGGGCTGTACACGCATTAAGGGATATCAACCTAGCCAAGCTAATCAGTGGGCTTGTCCAGTACGGCTGAGGGGCTGGTATGGACACAGAGCAAGACCAAATGTCTCCTGGGTGAGAGGCTCTGACCAGACACCATGCCCTGCTCCCCCACCTCTGCACTTCCAGAGTGGCCCCCAAACCCATTCCAGCACTTAACCTCCAACTGTGTTGTTTAATGAGATAGAAAGGAGGGACAATGATGACGTTCATAGAAAATAATTGACTTTCATTGAATTTCATTGAGTTCAGATTAAATCAGATGGAGCTTTTAGCCTTGTCTGTGCACTACTTAGGGGAGTAGAGCGATTGGCAAGTCCCTCAGATTTCCAGCAGTTTCTCCAGGACAAGATTACCCATTAGTGGTGACAGAAGCACCGTGGTGCAAAACGTTCCCTCCTGAGGTCTCCTCTTGGTCTGATGGAAGCCAGGGAGGCCGCAGACTGTGGGAAGGCAGGCATGTTTTTCTCCATCTGTCTCTCCCACAGATAGTCATGCGTTCTCTTCTCCAACCTTCTCTTCTCCCTTGAAAGAATCTCAAAGGCCAACTCGCTTTTGTCAGATGAAAGGTGAGCTGGCAGGGGAAACATGCGAGGGAGTCTCTCTGCTCTGCCTCGGTGATCCATGCAACGCCTTAGATCAAAGAAACACAATATGGCCGGGGTGCATAATATCCCATTGTAACCAAAGAACGGTATGCAAATGGGAGGACGCTGAGCGGAGTTGGAACTGGAGGATAGAATTAATTAGAGAAGCGAGCTACCCGATTCCTCGTCTCCTCCGTAATGGAGTGAGTCACTGTTTAATATCCAGCCCACCATGAAATCCAATTGATGTGTGTTTGCTTACTGTCAAGACGTGGCCTTTAGAGATGCAGACTGATAGCCAGGCACCACTTGCAAACCCATAATCTTTTCCTAGGTGGAAGGAATAGAAAGGTGGACAGGAAAAACAGACTGGTAGGAAGGGCTGGTTTCAGCCTAAGTCAGATCCCTGTGGTGCCCCAAAATGCATTTCATGACACTGAGCTACCGCCAGCTCTCAGCTGAATCTACCTTTCAGGGTTGTGGGGAGGTTAAAAGGGGTCAGGGACACTTTGGAGGCCTACCCTGACCTTTTCTTGGTCTTTCTACCAACTTCCAGATGCATTCCGTTCACAACTTGCAATCTGCAGCCAACCCAGGAGGGCCAAGCAATGACAATGTGGATGACTTGACCCAACTGGAGTAAGTATTGCAGGATGGTTTCTAATCTGAGATCAAGTGGTGCAGTCCACACCTGAAAGATGTAGAGCAGTGTTTTTCAACCTTGCCAACTTGAAGAGGGGTCGACTTCAAGGAGTTGAAGTCCACCCGTCTTCAAGTTGCCAAGGTTGAGAAAAACTGATGTAGGGGATCCCAGAGAAATGCAAATCCAGAACCTCAGAAATTACTCTGGTTCAAACTTCCCCAGCCAGCTGTCCTCCAGATGTGTTGTGTTTCATCTCCCAGAATCCCTAGCTAACTCCAGCTGAGGATTCTGGGAATTGCAATGGGAACAGCACCGTGTGGTAGAAAGCAGCCGTGGCCAGTATTGGTAGCGCCTTCATATGATGGGTGATATTTCCTTGTGTATGATGGTAAATTGGAGAAATGCCCGGTGAACAAATATGGTTTTGGCAAACTCATGGAATTCCCTTCCTCTCCTATAGTGAACATCAGAAGTTATGGAGGCTTCTAGGTTTTCTCTCCTGCCTTGGTCTTGGGATTTTGTGCAGAGAGGGGTGGCTTCCATTGGACCCCTCCTTTTTTCATCTCCATCACTTCTTCAATTTTTCTCTTTCTGTGGACATTTGGTTAAAAATGGAAGCTGACACAGTTGCAGGACTTTTGTTCATAAACTTGGCCTCCTGCTTTTCATTCCAATCGTTATAACCTTCCACAGGGGATAGCTGAAGCTAGGGCCAGCCTATGTGCATCGTAACGGATGTTCTTTTTACAGCTCAGCTCTTCTTGTAGTATTTTGGGGTGGGGCAAAATTGAATAAAGAGTTTATGAATGGGAAGGAAAACCACTTATGAGAACATCTTCCACATTGGGGCAATTTAGTCCTTCTTACTAACCTTTCTCTGTTCAGGTGTAGAGTCCAGCCTTTTCCTCACCTGAACCATGGGAGCTTGGAGCCCTGCTACCTACAGGCTTCAGGGAGCAAAGTTTCCTTGTTCTTGTGCCTTTTTGCTCCATTCATTTATCAGGTTTGCCCCCTGGAATTGCTCATGGCAAGATTTATTATCCCTTCTTAAAGTTGCCCCATGCTCAGCAACGTTTGTTCTTTATGCCACAGAGAACTTCAAGAAAGTGTGGTCCTTCAAAACATCAAAAGGAGGTTTGAACGGGGACTGATCTATGTAAGTTGGTTTTCATTTTTGTTTCCTGGGCTTCGAAACCATTGGGAAAAACACCCAGAGTGGTGGGGAGGTCTAGCTTCAAACCCCAGCTAAGCCACAAAGTGTACAAGGAGGACCTGGCTTAGTCTTCCTCACACCTTTATAGTGATGATACAGCTGGAATGGAGGGTAGAAAATTCTGCACATTACTGGAGACCTTTTTCTGCAAGAAGAGGAGACTCAAAATTTATTCTCTTGTTATGCAGGAAGTAAGGAAGATGACCTTGACAGAGATATGCAAAGATCAGTTCGCCCTGGCATATTTACGACAAGGTCCTCTTCCTTACTCCCTACTTGTTACTAACAAATGCAAGCTTAAACAAAATATGGGTGCTAAACAGAAAGGTTCTGGAAGGTTTTGAAATGTTTGCTCAGTCTTGGTAAGTTCTCACCTTATTCTTGGCAATGCCTGTTCATAAAGCATAGGAATTGCCTATGTCAGAGTAAACCAGGGGAAGCTAAGGGGTTTATTCTTATGTGTTTAACATGAAGTCATCGTGTTTGGATTCACACAGAGCACTAGGTCCTGCAGGCATCCATGTCTTTTTTCTTTCCCTAACATGTGCTCTCGCTCACACACACACAATGCGCTCCTCTTTCTCTCTGCCAGACGTACATAGGTAGCATCTTGGTGTCCGTGAACCCTTACAAAACATTCAACATCTACGGAACTGACCACGTCCTGAAGTATGAAGGCAAAGCACTGGGAGAGAACCCACCGTAAGTCTGCTGCTGGCTGTTGGTTTGATCTGGAGGGATGAGGGATGTGTTTCACTCAGTCCTGCAGAAATGGGTAAAGTTTTATTATCCTGGGCTGTTTTGAAAAAGCAGAGTCTTAGCCCTAGTGGCCATAAGCATGTTCTTGAAACTCTGCGCATGTGGAAAGGGTGACAGTGAAATCTCTGGTTGAATAACATCCCGACTGCCACTGGGCCTTCTCACCCAACCAACTAGAGTCTTCCAGATGATTTGCAACTACAATTCCCATCATTCTGGTTCTCTGCTTTTATTGGTTAGGGCTGGGAGTCCAAAACAGCTGGAAAGCATCAACAGGCAGGTGGTCTTCCCCCATATATTTTTACTTTAATTGGCAGTGATTCTCTAGGATTGAAACTAGATAGAACTCCTTCTCAGTTGAGGTAAGGGAATCAGGGAGAGGAGGACAGAATAGAAACTATTCTGTTGGTGTTTCTAGAACTGGTTCCTTCCATGTGCTTCTAAATATTGTCACAGGCTTGTGGGAATGCTAGCTAGGACACCGTTCTTGACTTGAGAGCAACCTATCCCACATTTTTAAGACAGCTTGAAACTTACGATCCTTCCTTCCTTCCTTCCTTCCTTTCTTTGGCAGACACCTTTTTGCAATCACTAACGTTGCCTACAGCAAGTTGAGAGATGCCAAACTCAACCAATGTATCATTATCAGGTGAGCTTGGGGTGTTCCCTTGGACAGTAAGCCCTCAAACAAGCTACGGTTCCCTGGAAAGAGACCCTTGTCTTCTTTCAGGTTCAGTCACTTAACCTGTTGACATATTTCAGTGGAGTCAGGTGTTCTTGCTCCCCTTACACGCCACCCCTCTGGTTGCTTTTAGTGGAGAAAGCGGCTCCGGGAAGACAGAGGCCACCAAACTGATTCTTCGTTATCTGGCAGCTATAAACCAGAAACACACTGCGACTCAGCAGGTAGGACAGGACGAGCAAAGGCAGCGAGGCTCAGCCAGAGCCTTGGTGCTCACCTGTAGCACAGTTGAGGTCAACGGACGGGTGGCTGAATGGGGAACTGCCCTGAGCCTTTGAAGACCCTGACATTGCTTCCTCCCTTCCACTGCCATGCTGCTCATGATGCTTCCCTAGATAAAGGTATGGAGCAGCTGTGTGCTGTGCCAGTGTTTCAGCATCAGTTAATGCCATGGTACAAGCGTGGACTCAACTGCGTATGGATTAGTTCATCTCTGTCTCCTTTTCCCACTTGTCTTGGAGCATCAGGGCTTCCCTCTGAGCAGTTAGTCCATCTCCATTCCTTTAGGGACTGACTTAATGACCTGAATTGCAGGTTCATCCACATTTGAGTAATTAAACATCAGCCCTGGCCTTTCCTACAGGATTCAGACCCAGGTGACTGATACACCTGGCTACCTTTCCTACGGCTGAATGCAGTATGCAGAACGCCTTGATACAAGAATCTAGTTGTTGCTCAGAGGTCAAGCTACCACAAATAAATGTTCTGGCTTGTTGACTTTCACACTTTCACACCAGCCTTTTTCTCCGCCCTCCCCCTCTTAGCTTCCCCCCCCCCTTCTTATGGGGCATTCAGGGAACATTTTTGTCCATCCCCCGCACTGCAGTGTTTTCTGCATTGCTCTCTGGTGCTTTGGCAGGCTGGATGTTGGAAATTAAATAAAAACCAGACTAATGTAATAGCCTGGACATTTTGAGGTTTAGAGACCTTTCCTTGTCTTGATTTGATGGAATCCTATTCTTAGATCCTTTCTATTTTATTGTTTCCAACGGGGATTTGTGACAAATTGCCCCTTAATTGCCCCTTGCAGTCAGTTTTGGTTTCTATGGGAGAAAAGAACTGAGTAATTTATTTCTCCCCATTATGGATTTCCTCTTCCTTTTTTCAAACACCACAATCAGGCTCTTTTGTGATGAAAAAAATGAAGGATCAAAAGCGACAGGAAGAAACTAATCATTTAACTTCCTCCAGCACAGGAACCGAAAGGACAAAGAGAGCTAACCCAAGGAGAGGTCTGATCTTGCATCCATCATCTGTGGTGCCCGTGGGTGTGAAGGTTTTAATATATATTCACGCCTTCATTAGTGCTTTGATTTCTTTATACATATATTGCTTTTGTATTTTATCCACTTGAATCAGATTCTCGAGGCGACTCCTCTGCTGGAATCTTTTGGAAATGCCAAGACTGTGCGGAATGACAACTCCAGCAGGTTTGGGAAATTTGTGGAAATCTTTCTGGAGGAGTAAGTAAACATATGCCTGCACCTTCCTATAATTTTCTCCCTAACTTACAGCCTCTCTGCTTATTCCCATACAATCCTGTCTTCAGAGGCCCTGCTTAATAGTAGAATGGGTGCTTTGCACTCAGAAAGTTGCATGTTCAAGCTCCTGGTTTCTCTTGGTAGCCTGGAAAGAGCCTCACCTGAGCTCTTGGAGATAGACTCCATCACATGGACCACTCTGCTCTATGTGGGCCACTGGCGTGACTCTCTACAAAGCAACCAGGAGCCATTTCCCAGGACTAGACTTAGGGGCAGGTGAAGCAACTTTCTACCTGGGATGCTGGGCTTGGGCCATCTTTTCTGGGAGCTCCTGCCTCCAGAGCAAGGTCAGAAGTCACCAAGGAAAGACTCTTTCCAGTTATGGCATCAAAAGCTCTCCTGATATGGCTCACCTAATACCATGCCTCTTGTTTCTCCAGGACCGTCCTATATTTCCCCCATCTTTTATTATATACACTACAAAGTTGTTGCTTGTTTCATTCTGAGATGCTGGTTCCACCATGTTCTACATTGTTTTATTTATTGAGTGCATGAACTCTATTTTGCCCTTTAGCATCATTGAATCATCTCTGTTGGGGTGCAAAGAAAGTAGAGGAGATGCGAAAGGACTAGATCAGCCCAACTTATGCTGGGCTTGTTTTTGTAATAACATCCCATGGGTTGGTTTTATCAGAAAGTGGCTTTTGGATATATTTGGGTTGAGTATGGCTGCTTACAAGCTGAGGTCCCAACATTTCCTCTTTTTGGGTGGAATCTATCAGAAGAAATATCTCCTGGAAGATTCTTCCATGGCCTTTCACCTAAAATTGCTGTCCCCTTTCCTTGATTGCATTAAATTATTGTGTATCCTTGTGCAGAGAGGTTGGGTGGAAAAAGGATGTTTTGTTTCTGCAGTAACGGATTGATCTGTGGTGCCATCACCTCCCAGTACCTTCTGGAGAAATCAAGAGTCATCTTTCAGGTGAAGCTTTCTTCTCCTCTCCTGTTGACATAGTAATTGCAAGCAATTGTGACTCTGGTAAAGCAGGTTGGGAACTGCAAACGAAGGATCAACACGTTTCTTTTTAAGGATTGCAAATAAGGCATTTGGAAGAAAATAAGTGGTTGGCAGTACCACCAGCCTTTGTTGTGAGCTAGTTTGGAAAGGGCATCTCTCTAGCTTGAATGCGTTATGAATAATGGAGTGGATTAAGCTGGTTACTTTGATCCTTTAAAATTAGCCAAATGGTACTGCTGGTTGCACAGTTCTGTCCAAACGGTGATGATTGTCTGGAAAGGAATGAGACGTGGATTAAATTTGAACAGCAATTGACCATTTATTAAATAACAGAAGTGGAATATTTTCTGACAATGAGGACAATTGAAAAGATCATTCTAGCATTATGAGCTAATGGCACTTTTTTGAACGAGTTCTCCAAGAGTGGCTTGGAAATACCAAGCCAAGTGTAAGTCCACTCTGTTTTTTCATTCTATTTTTCTTTACTTTCATTGAATTCTGGATTTTTGCACGTGGGATTAAAATATCTCCTGTTTCTCGCTCATATTTATCCTGGTATTCACATCCATCAATCTTGTCTGACTCATTCCGTAGGCCAAAAATGAACGAAACTACCACATCTTTTACGAGATGCTAGCTGGCCTCCCCACACAGCAAAAGCAGACATTTTGTCTTCAAGGTGCAGAAACGTACTATTATCTGAACCAGGTATGGAACCGAATGACAACTCCTCAGGGTTATTTCTCCATTATTATGACTTGGTCCCCGTTTCTTCCATTTCTCAGATACATAAGGTCCCCAAAGTGGCTCAGATTAGATTCTAAAAAAAACCAAATATCTTCTCAGAAACTTCTCACAGACTAGAAATACAAGATGCAAATGGGAAAGAAATAGAGAAAGTTGAATTCTTAAAATCCAGGACAAAGGAGTGAGCTAAAAAACGTGGGCCTAGATCTAGTTTGGGCCAAGCTGATACTCCTTTATTGGGGAAACTCAGCCCCGGTCTCCTCCCTCCAGTTGCTGGGGGAAGCCTGGCTGTGCTTCCTTTCAGCTCTTTGGTCTCAGGACATTTAAGCAGAAGAAGCGGATGGCTCAGTTTGGAAGAGACGTTTGCTCTGAATTCTCCTGCCATTAAAATGCAGTAGGCACCTGCCATCAGGAGGCAAATGTTTTCCTGCTGTCTTCTCCAGGGAGGCAACTGTGAGATTCCTGGCAAAACAGACCTAGAGGACTTTCATCGGCTGCTTGACACCATGGAGGTTCTGAATTTCAGTCTCCGAGACCAGGACAGCATCTTCCGAATCCTGTCTTCCATCCTTCACTTGGGGAACGTCTACTTTGAAAAGTATGAGGTAAGAGGCAGCTCCCTGGGGAATGTTGGGGAGAGGATTCCTCATTCCAAGGCGAGCTGTTTGAGCTTGATTTGGTACCTTGCAGACTGACTGCCAGGAAGTGGCCACGGTGCTGAGCGCTAAGGAGATCCGGGTGGTGGCCGAGCTGTTGCAGATCTCTCCTGAGGGCTTGCAAAAGGCTATCACCTACAAAGTGACGGTGAGGGAGCCAAAATCCAGATGTGCACGATGAACTCATGGAGAGAATTAGGGCATGGCAAAGAGCAGGAACAGGATTATCAGCATGCAGGCCCCATTATCCCCAACCCAGCGGGTGCTTAAGGATGATAGGAGTAAGAACTCAAGGTAGGGAGTCTGGGGCTTTAGAAGAAGGGCTCTAGGGATGTGGTGGTGATCCTTGCTAGCAGTTCCCTCCTTGTTTGAGCCCCACAGCACTAATGGGTCAAAATGCAGAGAACATCTGGAAACAGCATGCTGGAATGGACCAGTCTTAGTTAGGGGAGTGGAGTCAGAACATGGGGTTGGAACAAGCCTTGAGATGGTCCACAGCATTGTTGAGTCAGCCGGGAAGACTGGAGTCTATTAAGCAGGACTCATCAGGTCTTACCAAGGAAAGTAGATCCATCCGTGCATTGAGACTCTGGCTACCACAACCCCTGACTTCTGGTTACACATTTGGAGCACACAGAGAAGTTTGGAAGGTCCCATAATTAGCCAGGGGCCATTTTTTTGTCCACCCCAAAGCTCCAGTTCCCATTTCCAACTTTTGTAACTCACAATCACGGGCCTCTTATAAGCAGAATAAGAGTGCACTTAGATATTCTGAACTAAATGTCCCCTCTTTAGACAGCTATGAAAATACCATCTTTAACTATTCTACAATAGGGAAACTCCGCAAGCCCCATCCAATGGTACCACTGTGGACAATGGTTTAGGGAGGCTGGTGGGGGCAGGGAAGAGAAGGCAGCCATCTTGGTTCTTTCTTTGCTTTCTTGACAGGAAACAATGAGGGAGAAGATTTTCACGCCACTCACCATAGAAAGCGCTGTGGATGCCAGGTAAAGAGAGGATGGTGGAAGGATAAAGGGAGCTACGCTGCTCAGCTTGGTGCCCTCAGATGAAGACCCCCATCCTTAAACCAACATCAGCCGCCTGCATGTGTTCTCCCTGTCCTGATACTCTGCCTTGTGGATGGCCTTCCCTTGATTTACCTTCCTCTTTTCAGAGATGCCATTGCCAAGATCCTTTACTCGCTGCTCTTCAGCTGGCTCATGGACAGGATCAACAAGCAAATGTACCCCAAGCAAAACACCCTATCGATTGCCATCTTGGATATCTACGGCTTTGAGGTGAGGAAGGGAGAGTTAAGCTAAGGATGTGCCTTGGGGTGCTCTGACGTGCACAACAAGCAAAGGGAGAGGAGGAGAAAGCAGCCACGAGGTCTTTCCGCAGCTTCCACTTAGGCGTTAGGTGTCTTGTGCCGGCAAGCCCTCAAGGTGGATTTCTAGAAAACTTATGGATTGTCATCCTGAGCCATTCTTTTGCAAGTTTTGGGCCTTTTCTTAGGTCATTCCAGCTTGGTAATGAAAGTCAACAATTCTGCTTGGGTGCCGGTCAATTTCTGTTGGTGATTCCTTGCAGCTAATATCTGGTCTGATTAAGCACATTGGTTGGTAGGTTGATTTGTCTGTTCGATATATGGCTGTCGAAGGACTGACTCCTGAGGGTTTATAGGACTGAATAAAAAGCATGCAACAGAATTCTAAAAACAGTCAAAACAATCCACGTTGGATGAATGGAGCTTCTGAATTCCCTTTTCTCCCTCCCTCCCTCCCCGCTTTTCCAAAAGGATCTCGGTTTCAACAGTTTTGAGCAGCTGTGTATTAATTACGCCAATGAATATCTCCAATACTTCTTTAACAAGATCGTCTTTAAGGAAGAACAGGTAAGACCAGGAGGACCCAAAGCCCTTGAGATTTTAAAGGCGGTGGCTGAACCAGACCCACCACCAGCGGGTGCAGAGGAATCTAAAATGGAGCTGGCATTTTACTTTGCGGCTTTCTGCTGTGTGTGAGAAGCCAGGTGGCCCCCTTTGAAAATGTTCCACACGGCAGCATGCAAATAGTGTGGAAAACAGTATCTTCCCTGTTCATGGTCAAGAGGTAACCCAAGACTTTGCAGGTTACTTTGCGTGCTGAAGGGACAAGTCCGTCCCCGAAGCTCCTAGCACTTCAGGAAAAACTCTTCTGGGAAAAGATTCTGCCTTAGAGGGTAAACCAGACTGGGCTAGCTGGACCCATGCTCTGATTAAAGCCGTTCCTTGCTCTCCCTTTTCATGAAGGTGGCTAGCAAAAGGGCGGCCGCCATTTTTTCAATGGTGCATCTGCTGCTGCTCTTAAGGAGAGCATGAGCCTCACTCCTCTTGTGTTGTGTTCAGGAGGAATATATCCGTGAGCAGATTGAATGGAGGGAGATTGCCTTCACTGACAACCAGCCGTGCATTGAGCTGATTTCCCAAAGGCCTCACGGGGTTTTGAAGATCCTGAATGACCAAAGCAGTTTCCCCCAGGTGAGGTGGCCTCCACTGGGTTGGTACAAGGCAGACTTCAGGAATTAATGAGAAGAAATGTTTCCTGCCTATGTAAAGCCTTCTGCCCAGGCTCAGATGAACTTTACTCAGAAATCCCTTAAATAGTCTCTGTGTCCCAAAACCTAGTCATAAGTCCTGGGCAGGAGAGAAGTCTTCTCCTTACAAGAAGCATGTTCTTTCTGAACCTGGAGACAAGTCAGCTGACTGTGTTCTGGGCATGACATTAGCTGTTCTTCTGTATCTCTGTGTCTTAGTAGTTAGATCATTCAAGGCTTCTGAACACAAAAACACAGCAAGATACAGCTTGCCTTTAAAGGAGTCTGCCTGATGCCTCTCTGGGTGACTTGGTTAGAGGACACCCCAATCAAGAGTGGCCAGCTCTTATTTTTTTACGCTTTCAAAGGTTGTCCCTCTTGCTTGAGGGATGGAAACCATAGATTTTAAAAGGAGTCTATAGTGAAGGTAAGTCTGAATTGTTGGGGGTGACTTGATTATTCCTCCATCTTTCTAGGCCACTGACCATACATTCCTTCAGAAATGCCACTATCATCACAGCTCCAACCCCCTGTATTCCAAGCCAAAAATGCCACTGCCGGAATTCTCTATCAAGCACTATGCAGGCAAAGTAACCTACCAGGTGAGACTGAAGTCAGGGAAGAAGGAGAAGGAGAAGGAGAAGGAGAAGGAGAAGGAGAAGGAGAAGGAGAAGGAGAAGGAGAAGGAGAAGGAGAAGGAGAAGGAGAAGCTTAAAAAGGGCACAACAACATATCTGCACCATCAAGAGGCCAGGAAGGGGGGGAATCTTGATTTGTGGGATCCCAGCAACCAGTTCTGGTGCCATCAGCTGTTTGCATTACAAGCTGAGAGGCTGAGCACTCAACTTTCTGTGTTGAGCCATCTGGGTTGAACTCTCATCCTGCATAATGTGTTCCATCATAGCTGCCTGAGGAAAATGGAGCTGGAAGCCAACATTCATGGACAGCATCAAGTTGAGAAATGAACCATGGTTTGTTCAGCCTTCCTCAATCAGGGCACCACCCAGAGAATTAGACTTAAGCTCCTAGAATTCTCGGCCATGGCCCTGCTTGTTGGGGAATTCTGGGAGTTGAAATCTACGCCTGGGGGTGGCTCCTGTTGGAGAAGACTGCCCACTGCCACATGCAAGCTGAACCATTGATTGCCACGCTCACTTGATCCTGATCCGGAACACCACAGCCTCTTACCCCATCGCTGTAATGACCGCAGCAAGGGACTGCGCCATTTTGTTCCTTGGAGGTGCACCTCTACTCATTTCAGCACATGGTACAGAATGCATTTTCTCTCTTTACTTCCTCCTAGGTACATAAATTCTTGGATAAAAACTATGATCAAGTTCGCCAGGATGTTCTGGATCTTTTTGTCAACAGTAAAATCAAAGTAGGTGCCTGGGCTGACCTCTCAGTTGGCCCTGATTCTTCCAGAGGCTTAAAAGTTTGCAAAAGAATTTTAGTTGCAGTATTTGGAAAAGGGATAAGGATTCAGAGGGAGTAGAGTGAGAAATAAAGAGATACAGTAAAGGTATGGGGGGGGTTATAGGACACACAAGGCAGCTTATAGTCTAACATAAAATAGAAATAATTGGAGAGCAATAAACCCACCACTATTATTAATCATGGTTTGCCTAAATATGATAAAGATGATGGCAATTCTGATTTGTCCAGCAGCTGAAGTTCTCTAGCAAATTCCTTCTAGATTACTAAAGGATCTTGGTTTAATCCTTCTCTCCCAGCTTAGCCCACCTCCCCAAATCCCTGGAGAATAAAATAAATGGGGGAAGAGGGAAATCCACCTATACTGTATGGTGTCCCAAGGTTTTTGGAAGAGGCTGAGATCCCAGTAGGCATGAGTGAATAAGCGTGTGGTTGAGCCATTTCTTCCTCCCTGTCTGCTCTGCGCTTGGCTCAGATGGTGGCCAGCCTTTTTTTCAGTCACGCTCAGCAGAAGACCATGATGGGGAAAAGCAGCACCAGCAGACGGAAGTATAAGCCCCAAACTGTGGCTGCAAAGTTCCAGCAGTCGCTTCTGGACCTCGTGGAGAAGATGGAGAGGTACGTAGAACAGACGCCAGCCTTTGGTCAATTAGGATACGCAACTTGGACTTGAACCACACACGTCACGGCCTGGGCCGCTGCAAAGTCTAGCTAAGGGTCCTCTGAGGGCCAGAACAGGATTTCATCCCGGAGGAGCCCTTGGAGGAGCACAGGCTGAAATCCATCCCACTGCCAAGAATGGACCAGCTCATTAGCCGAAATGAACTCAAAGCCCAGAGAAGATAAAGTTAAGGGGAGAGAGGCGATTGCTCTGTTTAAGCCTTTCAAATGCAGAAACACAGCAAAACTGTTCTCTGCGGCTGCAGAAGGAGGACCTAGATGTGGAAATCTGGAACGGGCAGATTGGGAGGAACCAGTGGAAATATCCTAAAGATGAGCTAGTGCTAAGCATTTTAAAATTTCACTTGCTTTCCCGATAGAAAACTCAGGCCCCTCTGTTTTCTTTTTCAAGGGGTTCCCCTTTATCCTCAAAGAAATTGACCTCAGGAATTTATCTTTCTCTCTCTGCAGGTGTAACCCTTTCTTTGTCCGCTGCATCAAGCCCAACAGTAAGAAGGTACGTGTGGCTCTCCAGCCTGTCTCTCCCCTGCTCCACCTTTCCCAGATCAGTCAGTTCATATCCTGAACTGTGAAGACTGCCCCTCTCACAGAGCATGCGCCGTGCTCCATCCTGTCCCCCGATTGCATCTGAACTCACACATCCTGGCTGCCCTCTGTCCTTGGCTGCTCTTTCGGGGACGCAGCCACAAGTAGATTGCCATGTGGTAAAATTGCAGGACCGTGCTTTCAGTTTTATTGGCTGATGAGGGAGCTGCACGCGGTCTAAGCAGGGGAAATCAAGTGGGTGTGTGCTGAAAACGATCACACTAAGCCTCAATTTAAAGCACCATTTCGAAGGAAGGGGTCTCTGTTAAGTCGCAGCGGCTGTTAAATCCAACTTACTTAACGGATGTCCTTTGCATCGTCGGTGGGCCTGGGTATTGGGAGGCCAGGGACATCATGTCTATCGTGACATCGCCCAGAGGATGCCACTTAAATAATTTGCATGATTTTTGCAATGACAACGTGATGCATATGATGCCATCGTGGCTTGCGTCAGACACCTATGGTAGTAAGCGTTATGAAATTGACTCCAGAAAGTGGAAGATGCTTGGAACAACTTTTCCCAGGCTGGGCCTTTTCAGATGTCTTGAATTACAGTTCCCACCAAACCTGTGTTGCAGCAACACAGTTACCCAGGTTAGTGGGAGTTCAGCATCTGCACTTGCATGCTGCAAAAAACTTAGGGTTCACCATGGTTAGTTTTCCATGAGCTAGCTCATTTAGTTAGTGTTGGGCTCAGTGTATTGTGTGAGCCCCGAAGATGGGTTAAGGTTAATGTGTTGGGTGAATGTACCTTGGCATTCATTTTGTTTGCCATTCTAGCAAACACCCTTGTTTCTTCCTTCTCCTCCTCCTCCATCTCACATCCAGGAGCCAGGACTGTTTGAGGCCGATACAGTCAGCCACCAGCTACGATCCTCGGGGATCCTGGAGACCATCCGAATCCGCAAAGAGGGCTTTCCTGTCCGCATCCCCTTCCAAATCTTCATTGACAGGTACAGACAAGCCCTCTGACACCCTTAGATCAAAGCTATTCCAGGCCTCAGATACAGAGCTCCCGCACCCCCAGAGCCGAGGAGCAGAGCTGAGGAACCCACCTTCAAATCCTTCAAATCCTTGCGGACTATTTTGCTTTATTTGACCTTGTTCTGCCTTTTGTTATGTCGGATCTCTGGCAGAAGCCCAGTTCCACCTTCAGCTTCTAACTGAGGGGTTCACACATCCCTCTGAGACATGATTTGCATCATGGCTGGTTCTGCGTAGGACACTCATTTCATTCGATTGTAGGAACTCCATTCCATTGTTCTGCCGCTTTCCTTTCCACAAGGAACGTTTTTGGAAACTTTGAGCATTTGAACTACAGTTGCCACCTGACTAAACCATAGACAGTGGCTGAGGTGCCATGCCACCATCGCAGCACGGCAAAAAAAAGTCCACCATATGACAGCTTAGCACAACATCCCAGCCCAGTCTATGTCTCCTCAGGTACCGCTGCCTCGTCAATATTCGTACTGACATCATCCCGGATGGGTGGAACTCTGCGGGGGTGCTGAAGAAGCTGTGCCCGGTCACCCCAGAGATGTACTGCATTGGCACTACCAAGGTAAAACCACCATTTTTGATGGTAGTTTAATTACAAGAAGTTATAGAGCAAATAGTAGATGGACGCTGCACAGCCTGGTCTTTAGTGAAGGGCTTGATGGATCCTTCTCAGCCGAATCTGCTCATGGTCTCCGGCTGCTATTTAGGTTCTCCTACGCCAGGTTTTCTCCGTCACCCGCTGTTCCACCTGGTCACTGTGAAATGGTCATGTAACAACAGGAACAAGGCGCCGTTACCTGAATGGTCTTATTTTGCTTTTCCCTCCCCTTCCTGTCTTTTCCTCATTGTGCATCCTGCCATTTAGCTCGTTACAAAACGCCAACAATGCCAAGTGCCTAGGCAAAAAAGTTATAATACCCGTGCCATCGACAAATGACGATGATGGACCATTGAACCTTGGGTTTCTGCTTCTCCTCACCCCTCCTTCCTCTTCCTCCTTTAGCTCTTCATGAAGGAAAGCGTCTACCAGCAACTGGAGGCCAAGCGGGAACAGATCGTTCACATGGCGGTGGTGACCCTGCAACGTTACATCCGTGGCTTCTTGATCAAGAAACGCTTCTACGCCTTACGCTGCAAGATTATCCTCTTCCAAGCCCGGGCACGGGGTTATCTTGTCAGGTGCTGAGTTTGACTCTCCTTGAAAGAGATCGTCTTGTGGGCATGTGAGCAGGCAGAAGGGCTTAGATGTGGCCTTTGTCACGCCTGGCCCAACCTGTCATCCCTGTATGTTGTGTTCCCTCGTTCCTGTCTTGTGACAAGCTTTGGAGCAGAGTCGCTCTCATAAAGATGTCATCTCCTACATGGGGCTAGATCTTACAAGGAGGAAGAAGAGAGAACAAACGGGACAGTAGAAGCAAGTTGCAGCCCTGAGTATTTTATAAGATAGCTTCTAGTATTTGAAGGGAGAAGATTTCTTCTCTTTTCCTCCAGAAAGTAAGGCTAGAACTCAGATAAAGAGACAGATTTCAGCTGAACTTTAGGAAAAGTTGTTATGAGTTAACGCACAGCAGAACAAGCTGCTTCTGAAAACGGTGGTCTCTCCTTTCTCTGTCCAAGCAGAAACAAGATGGTGACTTCTTGGGGATAAGAAGCTGCATCTTGTACTGAGCAAGGGGTAGGCTGGAGGCTGGAAGACTGGCTCTTTTTCAGCATTAACATTCTGTTTCAACAATTCAGAATAAAGTCTAATTCTATCCCCAGTCACCAAATATTCTCTGAAAAACACTTATATCATCTTCTGAGTCCCTCCCTTCTTTGGGGTTAATTACTAGGGATCTCAGAAAACTGTTAGAAGCAGTCCAAAATGAATTCCCAGCTCAGTTCTGAACAGATTCATCCATCCATTTCACTCACGTTCATCTAAAGGAGAATGCCCTTTTTATTCCCTCACTTTAGCTTCTTAACAACCTTGTGAGGTAGGTTCCTCTGAGTGACAGATTCAAGGGCCACTCAAGTGGACTTTCTTAACTTAGTAGGAATTTTGTGGACTTCCCCAAGCTGGTATTCTCCGAACATGCTGGAGTGCCCCTCCCACAATTGCCAACCAGGATCCCAGTAGCCTTGCTGGCTGGGGTTACATGATGAATCTCCAAAACATCTGCAAGAGGTCAGGTGGGCAAATGTTACTCCAACTGGCCCACCTTCTCCCTCTGATGAAGATGCTTGCCATCCTTGGTCTGGTCTGTCTGTCCATTACTGTGTTTTGTTTTGATTTTTTACCCTGGGTAGGAGAAAATGTTGTTGAGACTTGGGGTGATCTTTCCCACCTCCATCCCGGGGGTTTCCCGTCCTGCAGGCAAAAATATTGGAGGCTGCGTCAGACGCTCATCAAATTCAGATGCCTGGTACGCATCTATATGAACCGCAGGAGATACCTCAAGGTGAGTCCCTGGTGATCTGACTGCAAATCGGGGATGCAGGAAGAGGGTTTGGGAGAGAGGAATTTTGTATCAGGCACCACATAATAAATTGCCTTGGTGAATTCTCTGTATGGTGGACTACAAGTCCCATCATCCTGATGGATGGAGGTAACTGAGATAAAAGGTGGCTGGTGTCTAGCAGATAAAGCAATCATAGGAGTCCCCACCCAACCAGCTATTGTTGAGAAATGTGTAGAGTCAAGGTCAGACGGTCAACTGAATTGTTTGAAGCCACCTTGATTCACAAAGATATCCAGGTGTCCCCAGATGAATAATTGCAAAGTCTGTCTGGCAGGAGATTCTGAAAGCTTGCTATAGTCCTGCCCCACCCTTGTGCTGAGCCAGGGAAGAAAGAAAGGTGGGTCCCTCTCATGGCCGTCATACAATGAGGATGGAGAGATTCAATGTGGGTATTAAAAGGATGTCAGTAGCAGGGGGGAAGTGAAGACATGCATGTCACAATATTGTCGATGTAATCATACCATTTGCACCACAACATGATGGCATTCATGACACCAATGTAGCTTGTATCAGATGCCTGGCAGCATGACATACTGTACAATGCCCAGAAGGGAGTCTTCTTCACAACGTGGAGTTTGGCGATAGCTCCTTTCATATCAAGGTGGAAGATGGCCCAATGCGATTAAGAGAGGCCAGAATTGAATAAGGAGTTTTCCTTTGTGGGCTGCTGTCCGAAATGTATGGAAGTGATAACTTTCAGAAACTGCACAGTTCTTGGGGCAAACAATGGCTGGGGAATGTAAAGCCCACAGCTGGTTGAGGCAGAAATAGGAAAGAGGTAGCAGGGTTGGTTTAAGAGTAGATAGTCACTACTGTAGATCAGGAATGGGTGGTTGAGGAGACAAACACACAGCAGGCAGACATCAATACGGAGGCCTCCTTCCACCATCTATGAACACCTACTTGAATCCACTTTCCCACGCTCTGACAAGCTGTGCATCCCTTTTCAGAACCTATTTGAATTGGAACTGTATTTATTTAATGCAGCATCCACCGAAGAGGACTTTGTCCACCAAAGCACATTGCCATAATCCATCTGTTAGTTTTTTAAAGT